AACTTTCATTGACTGCTAAATTCAGGTATATTTTTCAGGGTGGAAGAGGATGATGATGGAATTTTACTTGTAGTATTAACGTGTGTGTTTTGGAGCTGGATCCAGTTTACAGAATTTAACCTGTTGCCTTTTTAAATAAATTTCTGTTGTTGGTGAATGTATTGTACATAATGGGGGAGGGGGTGGGCCCAGCTTGTAGTGGGCTTAGCACTGGAGGAATCCTTAACTGTTTACAATCATATCACACTGAAATCTTTCAGGATAATGGTGAGGGTTCGAGGGGAGTGGGGAGAGGTGAGGGAATGTGTGATGGATGACTTGCTGTCCTTCCTGTCCTCTGCAACCAAGAGACAACCTGACAGTTGGTTGACTGAATAGCAGGAACTGCTCAGGAGCATAACATGTCCTCCTCTTTCTCTTGTCTTCTTCCTCCTTCCCTCCTCATCCCCACCTCCACCCCTCTGGATCCAGGGCCTGAGTGCACTTCCAGCTCCTGTCATCATGGGGGAACAAGGGAACCAGGACCAGGAATTGAAACCAGGACAGGACACTCATGGCATTGTCCCTTCTGCTAGTATAGTACCCTTCTCCCTGCCTTTCTGATAGGAGAAATGTATGGTCTAGAAAACAGCATAACTGGTCATCCTAGACTTCTTTTGGTGAAATCAGTGCAGCTGGGGGTGGAGCAGCACCTATGCAGTAGAACAATTTTTGTGCAAATCTGTACTGCCTGCTGCCCAAGGAGAGGAGCCGAGTCCCCACCTTTCTTTCTCTGTCCTTTGGCTATATTCACTTCTTAGCAGCAGCATCAAAGCAGAAAGTACCCCACGGTTCCTGACCACTCATGGTTGCCTGTGAAGGAGAAGCATGAGGCTGCTTTGGGGGAGCAGTTGGTTTGCTGCAGTGTGAGCTGTTTGTTGGCCTATGGAGTTGGATTTGGTGTTAGCAAGCTGCAGGTGAATCGGAGAGCACCGATTTGAAATCAAACATTATGGTGAGGGATGAGAGGGCTACGTGCTTGAGTTGACATGGTTTACCTTTGTCATCATTGATGGTGTAGCAGCAAGTCCTACAGTGCTAGTGGCAGCTTCCCTCAGAGGCTATGTGCATCTGTGAGGGCTTTCCCTGCAGTTGCAGCACTGCACTGGGGAAGCCCTGTGCACCAGGCAGTGCCGTTCAAATGTAGGTTTGACAAATGAGGTTGGTAGGAATCTCATCTGCAGATGCTTATTCACATCTTAATCAGCTGTATGTCCTTGTTAGGTTTATTCTTGGGGGAGCTGGGGTAAAACAAGGTGGAGTTGCTATGTGACAAGATTGGGCAGCAAGATCTGCTGGGACCATAGCCCTAGTGCAGGCTGCTGGATGCACTGGGGGGACAGCAAGGTGGTTGAAAAGGACAATGTGCCAATGTGTTGGACAAATTGTGCTATCAAAAGCATAAGTGGCAGCAGAAGCGAGGACAGAGCAGCATGCCCTTTAGTCTTTGGTACCAGCTAGGGGACAATCTTTGTCTCCAGGTTTCTGGAGAATTTTTCTGGCTGCTTTGTTGTCTTGAATGGTACCACCACCTGTATCTTTAGCTGGATTGCACTAGCACGCATGACTGCACTGCCTTTGTCCTGCTGTGTAGATCTACCATGTGCTGGCAAAGCTGTTTGAGCAAATGGCAGGTCGCATCTGACTGATCCATTACTCCTCCTGTCCTAAGCTTTTGGAAGCACAAAAAGCCTAAAAGATGAGAAATACTCTTTTCTTGAAACAGCTAGAACGAGGAAGGATTGCCACATTAGTGCCCTCTAACCAGTGTGTCTCACTGCTCTGTTGCCACAGTACTTTCACCTCTGATGAGCTGTATAGAGCCAAGGCATTTTCCAAGCCTAACAAGAGTTAAATTTCTTCATGCTATACCCACAAGATTGTGTATAAACACAGTTCTTCATACTGCTGCAGCTAGCCTATGAACTATAGCTGCTGTCTGCTTAGTCCAGTGAGTTACCTGGGACAGCTGGCTCCTCCACAAAGGAAGACTTCAATATAATGTGAATTACTTACAATATTTATCTATAGATGCCATTACATTATGAAAGGGAGATTTTTTTATTTTTTTTTTCCATTTCTGTTCCTCTGTCAGGGAGCAATTGTCACTGGTGGATTGGTATAAACTAGAATAGATGGTCCTGAAGGTTGTCCTTTGACTGAGAAGCAGGTAGCTGCTCTCCCCAGCCAAGAACATTATGCTACGGCTCATCTGAATTTGTCCCAGGTTTGAGGGTCTGCTGCTGGCTCGTCAGCTGGCACTGGGTTTGCAGAGGTGCCCCAGCTGCTCAGAAATACAGGTCTGGATACTTCCCTGAATGGAGGTACTGAAGCAGTAGCAGGCATTTATGAAAAACTGTGCAAGTATAACTGCTCTTCAAGACAGTAAACCTGGGGCAAATGAAAACACAGTTGCTTCTCCTTGTAAAGCAATCTTTACTTCATTGTAGATACAAAAATGATTTGAAATAGCACATTTCAAAATAGAGGTATTGTAAAATATAACTTGTAGCAAAGTATTCGAAATTCTGGAAATGTGATGGTAGATTCTGCGAACAACCCCTGCCATACTTCAGCTTGTGTCTTCTGTATCACAGATAGTTACCCAAATATTTGAAGTGCCTTTCATTCAGCTCATTGCGAACTTGGTGGAACAGGAGGTTCTTAGAAGCTATAAAAAAACCCTAACCAAGCTGAAGCACTCTTGGCCTTCAGCTGGAACTGGCACTGAAAATATGGTTCTAGTGGTCATGGTATCTGGATGAGCACCAAGCCCAGATCAAAACAGGGGACGAGTAAGAAAGGCAACAATTGCTCGTGGTCTGCCTGGAGAGGGTAGTGAAGTGTTAGACGATGATAGATACCCTGAGGATCCTGTATGGAGTGTGCAACATGAAGATATTATCCCTTACCTGACATATTATCCCTTACCTGACATAATGGAAATCTGGGAGAAGGCTTTGACTTGCAGATGGTAGACAAAACAGAGTAGTGAAGCTGACTCCTCCTGGGAGGGTTTCTAGGTAAATGGCTTTTGATGTAGTCAGTAATTCTTATTAAAGTGACTAACAAGCTGCTGTTGTGAGGACACATGGTGTATATTAGAAAAGTACTAATACAGTGTGGGGTAACCATGGCTGGGCTACAGAGATAGGGCTATCCTGGGGACAGGGTATGCGAAGAGAGCGAACTGCTTGTGGAATCTTAGCTCGGACTTTCCAGACTTTCAAATGCTTTGTTCATAAGTGTGTGTGTGTGTTTTGTTTTTCTTTTTATGATGACATCTAGGGATGCCCCCCAAAAATCAGAGCTCCCTCTCACTAGGTACAACCCGAGCAAATTGCAGAAAATTGGCACCCCTCAGAGGGTGCAGGGCTGGGAGTGGATTGCTGGGGTGGAACGCCAGTGGAAATGCCCAGGGAGAAGCAGAAAATGTGAATTTTGTAGTTTACGGTTTCCCAACCCATGCGGCACAGGGCTGTTTTATAGATACTGTGAAAGAGGCTGGTTTAAGGAGGGATTTAGAAGAGAGTAAAATGGCAGCTCTTTATGTACAGAGTGGTGCTTTTTGCCATGGGTTGGCATACAGTTCAGGAGAAATATAGCTGCATTTTAAAATATCCTGGCTTTCGAGGGCCATACTTGTGTTGCTATCGTAAATAATATTTTAACACAATATAGAGAAATTCTGGACGCTGGTTGGAAGCTCTCTTTCTCATCCCCCGGCATTGTTGTAGTATAGTATATTAGTGGTTGGTCCTTCTTCAGCAAGCATCTTGAGCTAGTGGCTTTGCAAAGTTCCCTGTAGCTATTTCTTTTCCCATACAGAGGATGTATTTTGCTGTAATTACAGATTTCATGTTAAACAAGACTATATAATATGTAGAACAAATAAGATGTTGACCATGCTTGAGCATGCCAAAAATTTCCAATATTCTCAGAAGAGCGTTGTATGCTACTCAGACTTTTTAACATCTTGCTCTCCCCTCCGCCTCACCCTTTGCAAGTGGTGTGTGGTGTTCCCAAGTTCCCGAGATGTTCAATTGCCATTATAAATGCCATTGTATAAACTTCCCCTGGGACGCTGGAAGCTTCAGGCATCTTAAGCACTACAGGCCCTGGCAATTCAGCTTAAGTATTTTAAGAAGGCCAGTCACTGAGGCTTCACAGTGATTTTTAGCTGTGTCCAGCAGAAGTCTGCAGTCTATAAATTCCATGGTGTGACCCACCAAACCACTCGGTAGCAATCCAAGGCACCAGCCTGCAATGAGGAGGACAAAAGAGGAAAGTAAATTTGAAGCTTCAAGGACCAACTGGTTTGATTTGTGACTTTAAAGCACATGGAGACACTTTTCTTGGAAGAGCTTCTGATCCTTTCTTGTCTGCCAAATGCCTTTCCCATGCAGACTTTCCAAAATGAAATCTCCTGTGTATATTTTTGTAAGTGTGGTTTCTCGGGGTCTTGGAGAGCTATCAGCTTCTTGATGTCTTATCTGAAAGCTAGTCACAGAGGCTGTCTTTCTGCTGACTGAGGCAGTTCTCCTGCAGCTTCTCACCCCAACACTTCTCCAGTTAAAATGAAAGTATAATTAGAAAACAACCTTCCTTTTTCCCCTCTACTGATCTCTGTCAGTCTTTGCATCTCTGTGTTCAGCCAGGGCTGTTTCTTTGCTCTCTATGGCTTTGTTCTGCTTTCCTTTCCCGAGGAGACAGTGTTGCCATGTGCATTGTGGAGTTTTAGAGAAGGTGCTGAAC